TGTATATTATTACAATATTTAATATTGTAAATTTAATTTACAATATTAAATGTGCTCAAAAATGCAACCAGTCCCCAGTCAAAATAAATAACAAAAAACACATAATACAGGTAGTCCTCAATTTACGACCCCAATTGAGCCCAACATTTCAGTTGTTAAGCAAAACATTTGTTGAGTTTCGTCCCATTTTACCACCTTTCTTGCCACCGTTGTTAAGTGAATCCCTGCAGTTGTTAAGTTAGTAACACGGTTGTTAAATGAATCTGGCTTCCCCACTGACAAAGACATCAACTGAGCCCAAAATGTATGTTGATAAGTGAGACATTTGTTAGGTGACCTTGGCCCCATCTTATGACCTTTCTTGCCACCGTTGTTAAGCGAATCCCTGCAGTTGTTAAGTTAGTAACACTGTTGTTAAGCGAATCCCTACAGTTGTTAAGTTAGTAACACCGTTATTAAGCAAATCCCTGCAGTTGTTAAGTTAGTAACACCGTTGTTAAGCGAATCTGGCTTCCCTATCGACTTCGCTTATCAGAAGGTCGCAAAAGGGGATCTCGCGTGACCCTGGGACACAACAACGGTCGTAAATAGGAACCAGTTGCCAAGCTTCTGAATTTTGATCACGTGATCATGGGGATGCTGCAACGGTCGTAAGTGTGGGGAAAACGGTCACAAGTCACTTTTTTCAGTGCCGTTGTCACTAAATGGACTGTCGCAAGTCGAGGATTACCTTTATGCTGAATCGTAAGCCACCCCAACTCTCTTTTAGCCTATTCCAACATGTTGTGCAACCACAGTTTTGTGTGGACCTCAGTACATATATTATACCCCAGTGACGGCTAACCTTTTTGCCATCATGTGCCAAAAGCGGGGGGAGCACAGGGGGGTCACGCACGCGCGTATCCACACCCATAATTCAATGCCCCCTGTCCCCCACGCATGCACACACGACACTCCCCCGTGCTCCCCCCCCTTTTTGCACGCGACGGCAAAAAGGTTACTGGTGGGCATGGAAGGCCCGTTTTTCACCCTTCCCAGGCTCCAGAGGCTTTCTAGGCGCCTGGGGAGGGCAAAAACTGCCTTCCCCATTTCCCCCAGAGGCTGGAAATAGCCCGTTTCCCGACTTCCGGTGGGCCTGGAAGGCCCGAAAATCAGCTGGCCGGTGCGCACATGCGGGCTGGAGCTGAGCTAGGGCAACGCTCGCACGCCCACAGATATGACTCCACATGTCACTTGTGGCACGCGTGTTATAGGTTCGCCATCACGGTTATACCCCTTCACAAAAACCCTGGTCTAGAACTCTTAAGAAGCCCTTCTCCTCTGGTGTAGTCCAGTCCAGGTTTCCATACTCACCTTAAATATTGCTTTTAGTGGGACCTTGCAAGCAATGGCCTCAATCCGTCTCTCTCTTGCCACATGCAACTTTTTGGGAGCGTATAATTTACTGTCTAAGGGAGGAAGCTGCAAATTACACCCTTCGCCTATCCAATGTGTCGTTGGCTAGCCAGCGTTTCCTATCCTGGCTGGGGATGATGAGAGTTGTGGTCCCATGCCCTCTGCAGACAGGCGGCAGACGGTCAGGAATTCGCCTTTGGGGAAACTGACCGGCTGCACGCAAAGTTTGGGAAGGAGGATTAAATGGGGTCCGTTGGCTTTGTCCCTCGGCACGTTAGGAGAAGCCGGATTGTCAGCTAAAGCTCATCATTCGGTGTTATCAGCAGAAGAGGAGGCTTGTAGCTCACGACGTTTCTTTACCCATCTAGGTAACATCAGCAGTGCTAGAAGAGAGTGGCGTTGGAGGAGGAGGAGGAGGAGGAGGAGAACTATGAGGTCCTTGGTGGTCTTTGAGCTCAGTTGTTTTTTTGCTAGAAGGAGGGGGAAGAGGAGGAGGAGGAGGGAAGGAGGAGGAGAGAGAGAGGAAAAGAAGAAGAGGAGGAGGAGGAGGAAAGGAGAAGTGGAGGAGGAGGAGGAAAGGAGAAGAAGAGGAGGAGGAGGAGGAAAGGAGAAGAGGAGGAGGAGGAGGAAAGGAGAAGAGGAGGAGGAGGAAAGGAGAAGCGGAGGAGGAGGAGGAAAGGAGAAGAGGAGGAGGAGGAAAGGAGAAGCGGAGGAGGAGGAGGAAAGGAGAAGAGGAGGAAGGAGGAGGATGGAACTGAGAGTCCCCTGATGCTCTCTGAACTCAGTTGTTTTCTTGCAGATGTTTTATTACTCAACTAGGTAACATCAGCAGTCCTAGAAGGAGGTGAGGTTGGAGGAGGAGAGAAGGCAAAGAAGAGGGAGAGAGGGAGAGGAGCAGGAGCAGAGGCAGAGGACGAAAGGAGAGGAGGAGGAAGGAAGGAAGGAAGGAAGGAGAGAGAGGGAGGGGAGGAGGAGGAGAAAAAGGACTGTGAAGTCCTTGGTGCTCTCTGAACTCAATTGTTTGCTTGCAGACGTCTCATTACCCAACTAAGTAACATCATCAGGGCTAGAAGGGAGTGGTGTTTGCACAGTGGAAGAGGAGAAGGACAATGGGGTCCTTGGTGCTCTCTGAGCTTGGTTATTCACATGTAGATGTTTCAGTACTTTTCTAGGTAACATCATGGAGTGGGGTTTGCTCTCTGTTTATAAACAAGGAGCTTGCCTGCCACACTCCTTTGTAGCACTGATGGTGTTACCTAGTTGGGTCATGAAACGTTTGCAAGAAAACAACCCAGCTCAGAGAGCACCAAGGACCCAGAATTGAGCGAAATGCCTTCTCTAACCAGAAAGTTACACATCCCCCCAGCCCCATGGCCAGATACTACAGTATTCTACTACAGGTAGTCCTCGACTTACAACAGTTCATTCAGTGACCGTCCGAAGTGACGACACTGAAAAAAGTAACGTACAACTTTTTCACACCTACGACCGTGGCATAATTCCCGTGTTCACATGATCAGAGTTCAGACACTTGGGAACTGGCTCGCATTTATGACGGTCGCAGTGTCCTGGGGTCATGTGATCCCCTTCTGACAAGTCAATGGGATTCACTTCCCAGCCATTTTACTAACGCCTGCAGTTGATACACTTAACAACGGTGGGGAGAAAGGTCATAAAACGAGGCGAAACCCAACTGCCTTGTTTTAGCAAACGGAGAATTTGCGCTCCATTGTGGTCGTTAAGTCAAGCATTTTTTGCTTTGCCAAAAAATAAGACCCAACATGGATCTGATCACAGAGTCAACTTTAATTCAATCTCACCTTTACCTTCTAATCGCCCCTCATATGTTCATTACACCTGGAGTTTTGCAACTTCAGTAACTTTAAAGGTGTGGGGACTTCAACTCCCAGAATTCCCTAGCCAGTATGGCCGCCGCTAAGACCCCCCAGCCCCATGGCCAGATACTACAGTATTCTACTACAGGTAGTCCTCGACTTACAACAGTTCATTCAGTGACCGTCCGAAGTGACGACACTGAAAAAAGTAACGTACAACTTTTTCACACCTACGACCGTGGCATAATTCCCGTGTTCACATGATCAGAGTTCAGACACTTGGGAACTGGCTCGCATTTATGACGGTCGCAGTGTCCTGGGGTCATGTGATCCCCTTCTGACAAGTCAATGGGATTCACTTCCCAGCCATTTTACTAACGCCTGCAGTTGATACACTTAACAACGGTGGGGAGAAAGGTCATAAAACGAGGCGAAACCCAACTGCCTTGTTTTAGCAAACGGAGAATTTGCGCTCCATTGTGGTCGTTAAGTCAAGCATTTTTTGCTTTGCCAAAAAATAAGACCCAACATGGATCTGATCACAGAGTCAACTTTAATTCAATCTCACCTTTACCTTCTAATCGCCCCTCATATGTTCATTACACCTGGAGTTTTGCAACTTCAGTAACTTTAAAGGTGTGGGGACTTCAACTCCCAGAATTCCCTAGCCAGTATGGCCGCCGCTAAGAATTCTGGGAATCGAAGGCCACACATCTCCAAGTTGCCACAGTTGGGCAACATTGCTCTCTATATCAGTTTAGGTCAGTTTCTTTCAATCTTGTCCATTTTAAGATTGTGGACTTCAACTCCCAGAATTCCCTAGCCAGTATGGCCGCCGCTAAGAATCTGGGAATCGAAGGCCACACATCTCCAAGTTGCCACAGTTGGGCAACATTGCTCTCTATATCAGTTTAGGTCAGTTTCTTTCAATCTTGTCCATTTTAAGATTGTGGACTTCAACTCCAGAATTCCCTAGCCAGTATGGCCACCGCTAAGAATCCTGGGAATCGAAGGCCACACATCTCCAAGTTGCCACAGTTGGGCAACATTGCTCTCTATATCAGTTTAGGTCAGTTTCTTTCAAACTTGGCCATTTTAAGAAGTGTGGACTTCAACTCCCAGAATTCCCCAGCCAGCATAGCTGGCTGGGGAATTCTGGGAATTGAAGTCCACCCATTTTATAAGCCGACAAGGTTATGAAACGCTGCCTTAGATGTTGGCCTACATTGTGTTACTCTACCAGATGGGTGCTTGAGTCCCGATCCCCACCCCACAACACAACACAACTCCTCAAAGAGACAGCCCTCGTGTGCCGCGTAGTCCAATTCCTCCTTCAGACCTTAAAACTGCCATTACAACAAGCCTCAATCATATTAACAACTTGGTTGCACGAGACCTTGCAAATAGTAAGTGCTACCAATGGCTACTCTTGCGTTTACTTGCCGTAAGGACTAGAAACCGAAATAACTTGTCAGACTATTTCATGCCAGTGTCTTTGTAGACCTAGACATAACCACATTCAAACGGAAGATGTGATATTATCAGAGCCCCACCAGAAGTGACGTTGGAGAAGACCGTGGTATTCAGGTCCCACATACTGTCCGAGCAAACAATCCTAGATGTGACAACTCGGTCTGCAAAATTTTAACCCTGATCCCCAAACGCTGATGCAGAATTTATCAAAACAAGTCAGCAGAACTTAATCATCAGCCAAAATATTTTTTAAAGACTCCATAAAACAAAAAGAAAGACCAAAAAAAAACAACTCACCACTTGTGGCTTGGTCCTGGAGCTGCTGGCATTCAGATCTCCATGGTGTTTGGGGCATCTGGGGAGCTTGGGTTCCGTGGTGGTTGGGGTGGAAGGCGACGATCTGGGGGTATCCACAGTGCTGTTGGGGAGGGTCTCCCCAGAACTCAGAGTCAACATGTAGCGTTTGGTAACATCCTCCAAGGATGGAACCTGAAGAGCTGCGGAAGGTTTGGTAGGCAGGTGTGGGAGCTCCTGGATGGCAGGGTGGGCATTCTGATAGAGCGAACTGGGCAGGTGGGCATCGGAGATGGGGAGGAAGGTGGCGGGTTCACTGGTGTGGCGCACATGCTTGGAGGCTGGCCTTGCTCTGCCCAGCGTGGTGGGCACGGGGGAAGAAAGCGTCAATTCTTCCTTTTTGCTCAAATCCTGGCTATTCGCTCGGTCGCTGCGCTTCTTGGAACTTCGCCGAACTATCCTAGGCGACAGGACTTCAGCCAGCTTGGGATCAAAGCTGAAGTTTTGAGGGACCTCATTGTCTTCTGGAGGCATCGGCAGAATTTGCTCCGACTGGGAGGACAACCTGTGCGCTTCCTGCTCCGTGGACTGGCCCCTTCGCTCCAAAAGGATAGGCTCACTGCTGGACGGAAGAATGTTCTGCTCCATCTCGTTGATGGGTTCTCCGGCGCCCATGAAGCCGGGGCTGGCATGCTCGCCACGGCGGCTGGGATCGCTGAAAGACTTCTTCTTGATGGGCTTCCCGTTCCCCTTCTCGTCGATCACCTTGTCCATGGCCCCAGGCTGGCTGACGATGTTCTGGATCACGGTGCTATAATCCTTCAGGCCGTCGCTGCAGACGGAGAGGTCGCTGGCAGCGCTCCCTGTGCAGTCAGACAAAGCGGCGGCCGAAGCATCTAAGACGCCGGGCTTCGAATTCAACGACCCCAGGAGGTTACTGTCCACGGAGAAGTTCTTGGAGTCCTCTGTGATGGAGCACCTTCTGTGGGGCATGGGGTCGCTGAGAGACCTGTAGGAATCGCCAGTGGATTCTCCGCTGCTCCCGTTGCTGGATTCGGACCCATTGTTTCCCAAGGATGGGAACTTTCTCCGGCGCCGAAGGGCGCTGGGAGTCAGAGGGGTCTCCGGCAAACCCTGGGACACCGTCTTGTGATTGGGGAGCACCTCCTCCACAACCGCCACGTTCTCGTTCCCTTTGGTTAGATGGTTTGGGAGAAGTTTCTCCTTCCTCTCACCGGCCTCCGTTCCTCTTCGGTTGGCCAACTTCCACGCAGCCACGGAGGGATCGAGATAACTGTAGGCAGGAGAGGTCTCTGGCTCGGTCACAATTCCTTCATCGGTCATACTGGATTCAGGACCTTCTTCTAAAGATTTCCTGCAGGATAAGTTTCCTTCGGAACCAGCTTTCTCCAAGCACTGACCGCAGCTTTCTTCATTCGGGGCCTCCTCTCCCTCCTCCGTCCCGTCCTTCCCCCTTTCCTTGGACTCCAAAGCGAAATTATAGTCATGTTCTGAGCCAATCTTACTTATCTTCTCGAAAACCTGCCTGGCTTCTTGGATGTACTGATCTTGAATGATTACAGGGAGCACCTCCTCTTCCCTGTCTCGGCTGTCGGAAACCACACCATTGTGGTCGAATCGAGTGGTCAGCAGAAGCTCCGAAGAGCTCGACTTCATGGCATTCTGCAGATAAAGGCGGCGGGAAGCTGGTTTATCCGAGTAAGTGAAGGATTTGGCCCGTCTCAGAGTCGCCGTGAGGTCCTTCAGGGTTGGACGGTGGCCCAAGACCCAACGGTTCGGGGGTTGAACCTCACCTTGGGATCTCCCCACCAACTGGTGCTCGGTTCCTCCCTGGGGATAATGTTCATATCTGCTGAGACCATCACCGTTGCCTCCACCAAAGGCCACGTCTTCTTGGTCACTCAACCTACTGCCCCTTTTCTTGGCCTTCAGCTCCGACAAGTCCGATTTCAGGAAACTGAGGAGGGCCATGGTCTCACTGGCAATATCCGGATTGGACATGGACTTCTGGTGCTTGGATCTGGCCGCCGGTTCAAGGCCGCAAGGCAGCAAACTCTCAAAGGAGGACAACTCCTGCTTGGACCTCCCCAAGCCCGACGGCAGCTTGGGACGGGCCCGGATGGGGGGCTGCAACCTGGCAGGGCTGTCGCTTGGGTTGAAACTGGGGGTCCGACCCAAACCGAGACCCAGCTTGCTTGGGCCGGTCCAGAAGACCCCCGGTTGGTCATCCTCCTTCAAAGTCTCCGTACTGGAGTATCTGCTGCTACTTCGGGAGCCGGCCGGGCTGGACGCAAAGGGGGGGATGTTGACCTTGGAGACCCGGGACACCAGAGGCAGGGGAGGCCCCGAGGAAAGGGGGGCTGGGGTGCCCAGGAAGGGCCTGCCGCCCTCAGGGGGGACCCCCAAAAGCGGCCTGAGTTCCTCAGCAATGGAGCCCCCTTTGGCTTCTGGGGTAGTCCTCTCCTCCTCCTGGGGGGGCAGGAGACCCCCAGAAAGGTCCAGCTGGGCCTTGAGGTGCCACTCCATGCCGGCCGCCACCTGGGCCTCAGTTTCCCTCTTCTTCCTCTCAAGGCAGCGTCTATTATGGGGCACCATCCGGTGGTCTTCCTCCTCCTCCTCTTCCTCACTGCCTGAGGAGGGCCTTGGGGGGCTCTTCCCACGGGGCAAAGGCCTCAACTCGTCCTCGCTGCTGCTGGAGACCTCCGGGGGGACCCAGCCGCCCCAGGCCGGGCAGGGGGGCGACGGCGAGGCGGCGGCCGGCGAGGCCGAACTATGCCAGGAATGCGAAGTATCCCACAGCTGAGGCGGCGGCGGCGGCGGCCTCTCCGACGGGCCTGAGGGACCCCGAGGCGCCCGGAGCCCCGCGAAGGGGATGCAGCTGCGAGGCGGCGGAGGAGGAGGGACGCCCCGCCGCTCTTCAGCCCAGCAGGGCCCGCCGTCGGGAAGCAGCGGAGCCCCCGGGAGGTGGTCGGAGCCCGACGGCGGCCCCGCTTTGCTCCGCCAGCCGCCTCCCTCCTCCTCAGCCGGGCCGCCCCGTCCTCGCTCGGCCGCCTGGAGCTGCTGCTGCTGCTGCCGCCGAAAACTCTCGCCGAAAAGTTTGCGCATCTCCGTCACGCTGGGCCAGTCCGGCGCCGGCGCCTCGCCCGGCCCTTTGCAGCAGGAGGAGGAGGCGGCGGCGGTGGTGCTGCTGCTGCGGGGCGGCGGGGCCGGGGGCTGCTCGGGCGGGGGCGTCCCGCCGGCCTCGGAGCCCCCGAGCTCCTTCTGGGCGGCGGCGGCGGCGGCGACGGGGCGGGCGCAGGTGGCTCTTCCGCGGCCGGCCGGAGCCGCGGGAGGAGGCTGGACTTCGGAGCCGGCGGCGGCGCGGGGAGGGCAGAAGCGCTGGGAAAGTTGGCGCACGGAGGGCGAGAGGCTCCGCAGGGCGCGGCCGGCCGGCTCGGCTGGTGCTGGGCGGGAGGAGACGCTGAAGGAAGCGGCGCGGCCGGGCGACCGCCGCCCGATGGGCTCCGGTGGCGGAGGAAGAGGGGGCTCCCCCCGAGGGTCTCCGCCTCCTCCTCCGTCGGGCTGGGCCGGGCCGCTCCACTTGGCCAAGCGCTGGAAGGAGACGCTCCGGTAGAGGGGAGTCCTCTTCTGGCTCGGGGCCCCCTCCGCCATTGTTGAGGCCGGCGGTGGCAGGGCCCGCCCCCCGGATCTGCGGCGGGATCCCCGAGTCTGGGAAGCGTCCCGGGCACGCCGCCCCCGCCCCGCCGCCGGCCTCAAGCCATCCGAAGGAAGGAAGGAAGGAGGAAGGAAGGAAGGAGGGTGGAGAGAGAGAGAGAGAGATATCCTTGTGTTGGAAATCAACTTCGTTGCTCGTGGACCTTTTCACAGGCGTTTATGTATGTTCCAAGTACTAAGAAACAGGCTGGGTTCTTATTGTTCTAATCCAGAAGTGTTCAACCTTGCAACTTTTAAGATTTGTGGACCAAACAAAGCAGACACAGACTTCAACGGATAATTAGGACTGCAGAAAAAACCATGGCTACCAACCTGCCTTCCATGGAGGACCTGTATACTGCATGAGTCAAAAAGAGGGCTGGGAAAATATCTACAGACCCCTCGCATCCTGGACATAAATAGTTTCAACTCCTACCCTCAAAACGACGCTATAGAGCACTGCACACCAGAACAACTAGACACAAGGACAGTTTTTTCCCCAACGCCATCACTCTGCTAAACAACTAATTCTCTCAACACTGTCAAAATAATTTACTAAGACCGTATTACTATTCTTCTTCTCTTCCTTACTAGTATCTATCTCTTCCCACTTATGACTATAACCATGTTGCTTGTAGCTTTCAATTATATTGTTTTTATTTGTTTCCTACTACGATTTGATAGCTTATTAGTATCCTTGACTATCACTAAGTGTTGTATCTTTTTACTCTTGATGAATGTATTTTATTCTCCTTATCTACACTGAGAGCATAGGCACCAAAGACAAATTCCTTGTGTGTCCAATCACACTTGGCCAATAAAATAATTTTTTTATTTATTTTTTAAAAAAATATTTTTTATTGAGTATTTTACATTTTAAAACCAAACACACAATAGCAAAAGAAATCAAGAGACAAAAACAAAAAACACACATACACCAGGCGTTAAAATACAATACTAACAACAGATATATACAATTTTACAACGTTCTGCATCGACTTTTGTCTTTACTCTTAGCTTTTATCCTCCCGCTCCTTCTCTTTATTTTTAAATATTCATAATTAACTGTTTTGTTAGCGGGATCATTATTTACATTTATATCCAGTATGTTAATATCTAATTTCACTTTATATTATATATATGCCACGTTTTTAAATTTATTCCCCCCCCCCCACCCTTATTATATAAATATCTAGGTGGTGAACATAAATAATACTCTCTCCTCCTCCTATTTTCCCCACAACTCTGCGAGGTGGGGTGAGCTGAGAGGGAGGGACTGGCCCACAGTCACCCAGATGGCTTTCATGCCCAAGGCGGAACTAGAACTCACCGTCTCCTGGTGAATGGCCCAAAGTCACTCAGCTGGCTTTCATGCCCAAGGTGGAACTAGAACTCACTTTCTCCTGGTAATTGGCCCAAATTCACCCAGCCGGCTTTCATGCCCAAGGTGGAACTAGAATTCACCGTCTCCTGGTGAATGGCCCAAAGTCACCCAGCTGGCTTTCATGCCTAAAGCAGAACTAGAACTCACCGTCTCCTGGTGATCGGCACAAAGTCACCCAGCCACCTTTCATGCGCAATACAGCACTAGAACTCATTGTCTCCTGGTGAATGGCCCACTCAGCTGGCTTTCATGCCTAAAGTGACTAGAACTCCCCGCCTCCTACTCATTGGCCCAAATGCACCCTGCTGGCTCTCCTGCCTAAGGCGGAACTAGAACTCATCATCTCCTGGTGATTGGCCCAAAGTCACCCAGATGGCTTTCATGCCCAAGGCGGAACTAGGATTCACCGTCTCCTGGTGATTGGCCCAAAGTCACCCAGATGGCTTTCGTGCCTGAGGCTGTACTAGAATTCACTGTCTCCTGGTGAATGGCCCACTCAGCTGGCTTTCATGCCTAAAGTGGGACTAGAACTCCCCGCCTCCTACTCATTGGCCCAAATGCACCCTGCTGGCTCTCCTGCCTAAGAGGCAACTAGAACTCACCGTCTCCTGGTGAATGGCCACCGAGCCGGCTTTCAGGACTACAACTAGACTCTAAGTATAACGGTGACAGTGTTTTGGCTTCACGTCAGCCAGGAAGCCAGATTCACTTAACAACCGGGTTACTATCGCAGTGATTCACTTAACCACGATGGCAAGAAAGATCATTAAACGGGGCAAAAACTCCCTTAGCAAACTGTCTTGCTTAGCGATGGGGAAATGTTGGGCTCAATCCCGGTCGTAATTCGAGGATGATCTGTACTTCTCACTCTGCAAAACACAAGGTGCGGGGGGGGGGGGGGGGTTTTAACGCAGTCCTCGGACTGGACTTTTGGGGCTCCCCACCCAGCCAGGAGGAAAAGGAGAGAGAGAGAGTGAGAGACAAACATCTTGAAAGGAAAAAGAAAATTTTTAATCCAGTGGGGAAACTTTCTCTCTTCATTCCAAACCATAAAATCCAACAGATATGATTCAACGGCAGCTCAATAAATTGCAAAAAGTTTTTTAAAAATAAAATAAAATAGAATAAACTAGATGCCCCGGCTTTGCCAGAAGACCCAACCCACAAAAGAGGGGAGAATATTTACGATGCAAATAAAATAAAATAAAATGTGCAAATATTGGAAAAGGCTGCCATGTGCCGGGGGGGGGGGGAAGGGGGGGCTGTTCTGGGTTGGAGGACGGATCCCCACAAACAAACACACGCGGGTAAACACAAACACACACAAACGCGCAAAGATGCACATAAGTAAACACATGGGACACTGACACGCAAACAAAGGCACGTGAATACACACACTCGTGGCTGGATGGGGGGGGGGCCACCTGTCCAGGTGGGCTTAGCGCAGAGATGCCCTGACCAGAGGGGTGGACTAGAGGACCTTGAAAGTCCTTCCAGCCCTAAAATAGGACCCTAAAATCCCCATTCAATGGGGAAAGCCTGGGGGAACCCCCCCTTTCTCTCCCCAAGGCAGCTTCTTCCCGGGTCCAAAAAAAAGGGGAACCTTAGAGGTCAGCTATCTGAGCCTTTCAAGAGTAGTCACCCACCCTTTAAATGGGGAAAGCCTGGGGGACCCCCTTTCTCTCCCCAAGGCGACTTCTTCCATGCTCCAAAAAAAGGGGGGAACCTTAGAGGTCAGCTATCCGTGCCTCCCACAACAGCCCCCCC